ACGTATTGTCAGCGTGAAGTATGGAAAATAGTAATGAAATAATATATTGGATAATTCATGCGAATATAAACAAACGGACGAATTAATATAACGTATTAAGGAGGCTCCCTACAGTTCCGTGCGAGATGTTCGCGGGACAACTACGGGAACTATCCCACGCAACTGCATGATCAAAACAAAACAAAAATTTACCATGCTTTTTTTAAAAATAAAGCTATTTCTGAAAGGTTTCTAATGGAAAAAAGCGTTGAATAATACTTCGTTTTGAGTGACAAATCACTTGCGAGTTTATACAGCAATTCTACATATGATACGAATATCACTAGACCAAAAAATAGCTACGAAACAATATTTTAAATTTTTTTTATACACTGTCAAATGAGTCAACTGTAAAACATTTGCAAAATTGCATACAAACGTTTAAAAAGTTGTTTACTTCTCAAGAAAACGTTCACGTTTTTAGTCGTGTTTCTACAAGATTAAAGTGATTATATGGAAACAGAAAAATATTTCAGTTTCATAGCCTAATTGTTCATTTTTAGCAAAAAGTACAAAACCAAACATGAAACAAAAAAACACGTCCACCTGTTAATAGGCTGTTACAGCTCATAGATTGAGTAAACGGCAGGAATCAATTAGCTTCAACCTTGTTTTCATCGATTTAATCCTTCACAATAATCCTTGGCTGTCCATAGCACTCAAATAAATCGAAAAGTTGACAAAAACAAAACAGTAAAAACAACATTGCGGCTCGATTTTGCTGAATGAAAACTCGTTCTGCGCCCGCGTACAATCTTTTACTAGTCAGCGACGCTTTTCAATAGGGGAATTTCTCGAGTTACACGAGGCTATTTTCTAACTTTATTTGCATTTTACTCATTAGTTTCATCGGTGACCTATCTTCAAATTTTGACCACAAATTTATTTTGTGGTAAATTTTATAAATTTCAAATTTTAAAAAAATCTGTAGTGTGGAAATTTCGCAATAAATTTTTCGCTTTTAAAAAAATCACACACTACAGAATTTTTTTAAACTTTCACCACAGTTGCAGAGCATCATTCTTTATTGATATATGAAATAAAAAAGATAGGTCACCGACATCGTTTTTGAGATAGCGGCACATTTATGGGTTAAATTGGAAGGCTTTATGCTGTCGTCATGTTGCCATGGGAACATTGACATCGTCGAAATCTAGTTCGAAATATTCCGTAGGTGACCAATATTGCCACCAAGTCGAAAAGAATTCGCGTTCTGCACGAATAAGCCTGTTTTACGGAATTATTGCTTAAACAAGAATAACTGTAGGGAGCCACCTTAAGGCCTGTTTAAACGGATCCAACATTGTTGGACCAACATCATCCAACAATGTTACTATACTAGATATGACTGCTTCTCTTTCAAATCTTTTTGGTTAGATAAGCTTTACTCAAACTCTAAACTTAGTCTTGACAAAAATATTTGAAAAAGAAGCCGTTTGGGCCATTATTTCAACAATGTTGGATGATGTTGGCCCAACATTGTTGGACCCGTTTAAACAGGGCTTTAGAAATTTTCTGCACTAATTCTGGTTATTTCTCTAAAATGTCGTGAAAATATGGATTATTTATTTTTAAATACAATCAAGCAAATAGTATTGTTTCTCTTGTCGTGTGACTTGTTCAGTTGTACAATATTTGAAGTGATTTTAATGCGGATTTTGTTCACCTCGTATAAAGGTATGTTGATAAAAATATAGTTTATATACTTAATACTGCTAGAATATTTCATAGTCGACTCGATTTACATGTAATATTTATAACACACAAAATCTTGACACAAAACAGATATGCTGCTTGGAAACAGCGTGCAATATTGTTATTTACCAATAAATAGATGCATCCAGCCAACACACAAATCCGTGCAGTATATTAATGGCATTAAAAACGTTTTCAGGTGTCCAAAAAAATACCTGCACTATAGTGGTAAGTCTA